TCCTCCTTGCATACCAAACATATGCAAGGCAATGTTCAAGGTGTCAATAAAAAAGAATGGGGACTTCATTCTCTATAAGACTCCCTACCATTCTGCTGATCACTGCTCTAAATGTGTGCCAGGTGTACTGAGAAGGGGCTTGTTCAGCCCTCAGTTGACCAGTTGTCTGGGGGACTGGTGTTTTCCTCTACCAACTGTGTATTTTCTTTGTATGAGACAACTTAAAAGGGAAGTAGTGCTTTAAGTCATTCCATGAGCTGCCTGGGACTTGATGGTGGTGGTGAAGTATGAGAATTTATTAATACCTTGAGAGACAGAGAGAAGGGAAATGGAACAATGGGAACAAGTGAGAGGGCTGACCAGAATCAGAGATGTAATTGGTGACCTTGCAGGAATGAAGGCTGTTTGTACATCCAACAACCCTACCCTTGAACTCATTAGCAAGGCCCTGTGGGCAACTATACTCACAGCCAGAAATGTGAATTCACATTTGTTGAGAACAATACTGCATCACCTCATTGAAGATGGGAGGCAGGCTCTCCTCTTTGAACTTAGTTCCTACTACAACCATGTAATTATTTTGTGAGTTCTTAAAACTCTCTGAGAAAAAACCTGGCTTCAGAAGTACAGTATCGAACACTTGTAATTCAGGTTACAATACTTTTATGAATGGCAAAAAACGACTAGTGTCTTAAATAAACTACATAAAGATGGTGTCAGCATGTTCAATATAAGCTTCCATTTCCAAAGGTTTATGCATTCCAAAGAAATTTTCTTGCAGGGGAAACTTGGCAAGTGTCTGAGCCCCTGACTGTCCACACCTCACTTCATAGTGAATGAATCCTTCACATTCAGTACATTTGGCATCTGTAATTTTTAGAAATTTAAAAAATGGCCTTAATAGTAAATGGTTTCTGAGCTTAATGTTAGGGCATGCAATTCTCAGAGAATCAGAGAACTCAAGAATTCTAAAAGTCCTGTGTTATAGACTCTGGTATAATAATATTGGGTGTTGAAAGAAAAGCAAAGAAATTTAAGGGGACTGATGCTAGAAAACGTTGTCCTCAGAAAGGCACCAGACTTTGACCACCTTCAACATTTTTTCTTCCCCCAAATTCCTCCTCTGCCTTATTTCCTGCAACTGCCCCATGACTTTGTGTTACAGGTTAGACAAACATACATGGGCTTCGTATACGGCACCTATTGCCAAACTGGAAAGGCAGCCAAGATTCTCACTTTGCTTTTTCAGTCTTCATTTGTGAAGACTGGGTTAAGTGTGCCTTAAAATACGTAGGAGAGACAAAGCCAGAAAAACATTGCCCTTGGAAGAGTGCCTGTCTTCCAAGCTGGAGGTGTATTAGGGCATTCTTACATTGCTATAAATAAATACCTGAGGCTATGTAATTTATAAGAAAAGAGTTTTAACTGCTTCATGTTTCTGCAGGCTGTGTAGGAAGCATGGTGCTGGCATCAGCTGCTGGTGAGGGCCTCAGGAAGCTTCCAATTATGGTGGAAGGTGAAGGAGTAGCAGGTGTCTTAAATGGCAAGAGCAGGAGCAAGAGAGAAGGTGGAAGGTGCCACATACTTTTAAACAACCAGATTTTGCGTGAACTCACTCACCACTAAGGGGATGGCACTAAATCATACATGAGGAATATACCCCCTTATACAAACACCTCCCAGCAGGCCCCAGCTCTAACAAAGGGGATTACATCTCAACATGAAATGTAGCAGGGACGCAGGTCCAAACCATATCAGGAGGTAAAGTAAACTCTAAGAAAACCCTGGCAAGGAGTCTAGAGATTCAACTCAAGAGGGCAGAAGGAAGAGTTACTAGGCAATTGGGATTCTCAGAACTATATAGGCATCCTGCATAGGGACAGACGACCAGTTAGATGCCAGGCATGTTGGCAGTGGACTGCAGCCTCAGAATGGGGAGCCCAGGAACCAAGCTAGAATTCTGGGGCCAGCACCAATTTCAGAAGAGAAGCTGGGCACCTTACCTAGAAGCCATGGGGCCGTGCTGTGAGCCTTCTGCTCACGTGGCTGTCTCAATGGCTATGAACTGAGCAGAGCCCACTGTGGGGTTTACTTGTGCTTCTGGGGGGAATCAGCATAGCTTGGTGGCTAAGAACATTGTCTTTGTAGTTAAGCAAGCCTAGATTCAAGTCCATGCTTTCATTTATAGCATCTGGCCTTGGACAAGTTGCTTAACCTCATTTAGCTGTGATTCCTCATTTCTAAATGGCAATAATAGTTCTTGCCTTATAGATATGTGAAGATGAAGAGATGACACAAAGAAAACAGAACCCCTGATAGCTATAATAAGCACCAAACTTTTGAGGACATGTCTTCTCGAAAGGAAAAGTGCCCCGAATGTCCTGCCTTGCTGAGCCCTCCTTGATTCAGGAATAGGCGGTCCTGAGGATGCTGGGGTAAATTATTAGGGCAGGCAGCCTGGGGCACATAGGGTCTGACACATCTTAGCCGCTACATCCCATGAATCCTTGATTCTCATTTTCAAAAACTGAGTCGGTTCTGATGAAGATCTATTTACACTTGTAAGTCTGAAACATTTCAGACTTTCAGAATTGCCCCAGTTATAACACATGGACATGCTAAATCTGAAGAGTGTTTTATGTGTAGGCCAAAATTAAGAAAAGACACAGAAGTCTGAATAGCAGGGTCTTTTTTTTTTTTTTTTTTTTTTTTGCTTGTCTGGCTGTGCTTCCCCATGCAAACAGCTGATCCTTTCTCAAAAACACCATTCTATCAAAATGAAATCACCTTAATTGAGGAGAAAATGAAAAGAGAAGATCATGAATAATCTGTAAGGCTGGTTGAGAATAAAGCTGACCAGGTGGAGGCCCTGAAGTGAATGGGGCTAAAACTTAGCCCTTTTAATCCCGGGAAGGAAAAGCACCTCTCACGGTGTGTCTGTATGATTCAGGAATTCTGGAGTCCATGACCCAACTCTGAGATCCCAGGGCATATGAGATGGCTAAATGATACCATAGTGGAGAAAAAAGGGTATCTGTGTCTTCCTACTAAATACCCCTGTGAAGACTGAAGCCTCTTAAGTAGGGACTTCATCTTTCTAGTACTTCCAAAACCAAACACCTAACTCCCTTGAGCCTAGGAAAGCCAACTCTATACACATCCCCATCCCTTTATTTTTGCCTTAGTATCAGGAAATTCCCAGCAAAGGGGGTTTTGAGGAGGAGGGTAGGGGAATAGGCAAATTCCGAAGTTTGGATAGTAATTGCTGAGCATGAAGTGAGATTGTATATAAAAGATCCTTAAGGATAAGCTATTCACCTATCAGACGTCTACTAATGTGTAATAATTATCCTAAGCATTTTGTATATGTTGCCATTCATTACTCATTTACTTGGCTGTCTCACAGTGTGCTTAAGTGTCATTGTAAAATTCTAAGGATTCAATGGTGAACATATTTTAATCCTCACAGCAATCCTAAAAGGAACCTGAGACCTCGAGAGGCTAAGGCTCTTGCACAGGGGTTCTGACAATTAGTCATTGGTGGAGATCACTCCTCAAGCTCCACAAGCCTCTGTTCCTAAAGCACCAAAGAAGTTGTAGCTATTGAGCTTTTTTTTTTTTTTTTTTTTTTTTGAGACAGAGTCTCATTCTGTCACCAGGTGCCAGGCTGAAGTGCAGTGGCACGATCTCAGCTCACTGCAACCTCCGCCTCCCAGGTTCAAGCAATGCTCCTGACTCAGGCTCCCAAGTAGCTGGGACTACAGGTGTGTGCCACCATGCCCAGCTAATTTTTGTATTTTTTAGTAGAGATGGGGTTTCACCATGTTGGCCAGGATGGTCTTGATCTCTTGACCTCATGATCTGCCTGCCTCGGCCTCCCATAGTGCTGGGATTACAGGAGTGAACTATTGAGCTTTTAATACAAATGTTATGTCATAATCTATTATACTCCCCACCATGCCTAACACAGGGCTAAATTGTTTGTCTTACCCAGTAGCAGACTTATAAGATGCTTCTAAGATGAAACTTAGGAAGTTTAATTCCAAGATTATTGTATGAACAGGACACTTTCTGGATAACATCCAGATCTTGGAAGTTGCCTCATTGATTTGGATAAACCATACCACCATTCCAGAAATTAAATACATAGTAATTTTTTCAAATACCATACTTTTCTCTGTATATAAAACTTTTTGAAGATGACACACAATTAACAGAATATGCCACATACATGGTGAGATTACCTCAATTTGTTCTAGAGAATAGTGGAATCCCTGGGACTTCCAAAAAATCCAAAGGGTTACTGATGAGTTTTGTCACTGAATAAAGTGAGAGTGAAAGAAAGTGGCTCACAGCCTTCTCACAAGACTTCAAGGACCAGCTGGGTCGAATGAAGCCCACATGATAAGTGATGTTGTGATGGGAAATTTACTCTTTGGGATGACCCTTCTGGCATATGAATTTGACTGTCCCCACAGTCAAATTAAGAGGCCAGAGATTTAGTCAACTGTTGAATGGGTGATCATTCATGCAAGAGATACAGAATTACCGTTGTTAGGACATCACTTCAATTTCTGTGTGCTCATTATTCATTATTTCAGTTAATAAATTTCAACTAATTGGTTGAAGTCATATCATTCCCAGATTGTAACAAGGGTGACCACAATTTGGTCTCTAATGACTGTTCCTCTTCTATTCTAACTCTAAAGATCTATCCAGGATATATGCACAAGTAACAACTGCTGCTCATAACAGGCTGGTCTTCCTATCTCATAATATATGAGGGGATGTTTTCATGTTCAAAAAGTCCATTTCATGCGCCTCACTGGAAATTTGCTACACCGCTAATACTGTTTCCAAATGCTTATCGTTTTTCTTTTTCTTAAATTCGCCCTTTTAGGTGTCACCTTTCGCCCAGATCGTACCCCAATTTCCATGATTCTTTTATCCTTTTATATGAGCCTTCTCTAATCCTTTCTCTCTCTGTCATTCTATCTCAGAATCCAACTGCCAGATGAGAACATTGGACAGTGGGATTGGAACCTTCCCACTCCCAGACTCGGGAAATCGCTCGACAGGACGGTACCTATGCCAGCCAGACTCCCCAGAGGACACTGAGCCTCTCTTGCCTCTCCAGTCAGCCTTTTCTGCAGCTTCTTCCATGAGAGCCCAAACACTTGAACGTGAAGTGCCTTCCTCCACAGACGGCCAGCGCCCTGCAGATAGTGCCATTGTTCATTCGGCATCTGACCCCATCATGACTGCCAGAGGGATGCGACCTCTTCAAAGCTGCCTTCCCAAACCAGCTTCCTCAGGTAAAATGCCAGTTTCCCACCCTTACTAAGACACTTGCTGACAAAAAAAGGGAAAAATTTTCAACAGGAGAGGAGTAAGTCAGTGGTCTCCCTGATAAAAACGTAGATATGTGAAAATTCCCGGATGTCCTTCACCAAAAAGCACAACAATGTATATAAGACAATATTTACTCATAGTATTATGTTAAGCAGTATACACACATATAAGGAAACAGACATGTAAGTACTGGTATATGGATATATGAACTGATTAAGAAAAAAACCCGTGCAACATACACTTGTGAGGTTTCATTTTATAAAACTTAATTCTGGGCTGGGCATGGTGGCTCACTCCTGTAATCCCAGCACTTTGGGAGGCCGAGGAGGGCAGATCACAAGGTCAGGAGATCGAGACCATCCTGGCCAAGATGGTGAAACCCCATGTCTACTAAAATACAAAAATTAGCTGGGTATGCAGTGCATGCCTGTAATTCCAACTACTTGGGAGGCTGAGGCAAGAGAATCTCTTGATCCAGGGAGGAGGAGGTTGCAGTGAGCCGAGATCGTGCCACTGCACTCCAGCCTGGGTGACAGAGCTAGACTCCATCTAAAAAAAAAAAAAAACCTTAGACCAATTTAGGCCCAAGATATAAATTTAACTACAATATTGTTTGCCTTCTAACCAGAAACTTACATGTTCTGATGTATTCCTATGCTGTTAAAATATATTTATATTTTGAACTATAAAAGACATAGTTTGATAAATCAGCAGTAGATTGTGGACTAATTGCAATGGAATAGAGTGAGCCTTCCCCTTGAGAGGTACTATCCTTTGTCACTCAACTGAAACATGCTTTCATGATTAAAGACAGGGCTAGGCTAAGGGTCACTGTTTTTTCATTGTTCCCCCACGATTAAAAATATTTATTGCATATGTACTATGCAGCCATAAAAAATGATGAGTTTATGTCCTTTGTAGGGACATGGATGAATCTAGAAGCATCATTCTCACCAAACTGAAACAAGAACAGGAAATCAAACACCACGTGTTCTCCCTCATAGGCGGGTGTTGAACAGTGAGAACACATGGACACAGGGAGGGGAGCATTACACACTGGGGTCGATTGGCAGGGGTAGGGGAGGGACAGTGGGGGGTGGAGAGGTTGGGGAGGGATAACATGGGGAGAAATGCCAGATATAGGTGACAGGGGGATGGAGGCAGCAAACCACATTGCCATGTATGTACCTATGCAACAATCCTGCATGATCTGCACATGTACCCCAGAACGTAAAGTACAAAAAAAAAATTATTGCAGCCCATGGTGACACTAAATAATTTTTAACTTGTATGTCTTATGTTGCTTTTATAACATGCATAAGCATAGGAACTAAAGCTTTAACACTTTCATTTATGAGTTGATGATTAGAAAGGAGCTGCAAGTGGAGTTTATAGTATAGGCTTCTGAGAAATTAGAAACTGAGACTTTTAATTATACATCTTTGAATAAATGTGATTGGGCTATTCCCGTGGCTGAGTTCTTCCTTTATACAGTAATACCCACTGCCAGTAATACCCATTTTCCTTCACAGACTTCTGCTCATTCCAAGTCAAGGCTACATTTTTAAAGGCTGTAATACATATTATTTTTGAAATAAATGCATTCTTAATTAATGACACGGCCTCCAGAGATTCGGGGGCGAAATCTTAGTTATAGATTAGGTACTCCATGCCTGAATAGTCACATGTGTGACCTCAATTCAGTGGTGGCTGCAGTAGACTCCATGATGAAACGCTGTCATTATAAGAAATTGAACAGAAACCACAAGCCTTGAATTGTTTCATAAGAAGCAATCAGAAGGAGATTGTTCTGATCTTGCTGCTAATATCCACTGCACCAGGTTTCTAAGGGCTCTATCCTTTTTGGTTTTGTTTTGAGATGGAGTCTCATCTTGTCGCCCAGGCTGGAGTATAATGGTGTGATCTTGGCTCATGGCAACCTCCAATTCCTGGGTTCAAGTGATCCTCTTGCCTCAGCCTCCCTAGTAACTGGGATGGTTTGCCTGCTGAACCTTTTCTAACCTGCAAAGCCTTTCAACATTTTGTAGACAAGTGGTCTAAGAACAGTTTGCCTTAGGGTCTTGAAAAGGGGCTTCTACAGACATATATACATAATTATGCAGATGTTTTTGGCAGCACAGACTAGAGGGGGGTGGATGGCGGGAAGCTCAGCTTTCACTGTATTTGGACCTATTGTTATTATTTCTGAATGTCTCCCCTACCTCCTTTCCTAAACTTGTAAAAGGTTGATGAAAGTTGATATGTGATTCTGCATACATGTCCTCATTTAGGAAAAGGCAGTACCCAAAAGCAGAATGAAGCAGAGCCAAGGCCTCAGACATGCTCACCATTTGGATATGCTGAAGACCCAATGGCAAGCCAACTTCTTCCAGACTGGGGGAGTGAAGATACTGCCTCCGGGACCCAGGTGAGGGGTTGGGGGAAGTGAAGGGTGTCATCCACCTGTTGGTCCTGATTGTAAAAATTGTACTTTTAAAACACTTTTGTGATAGATTTTACTTTAAATGAAGTTTTCTGTTGGTTTATTGAATAAGGCCTAGGGTTCATCCTTTTCCCTGCCTTATTAAGAAATACTGGGGGTTCTTGGGACACTTTTATTATGAAGAATCAAAGTGCTTCTGAAATGCACCCAGATTCTTGGGTAGGAATGCACTCCCCTGATTAGATATTGTGGGAGGGCATTCACTCTCCTAAGCCATGAAGGGACCATTGGAATGATGTTTTTTTCTATTTTTTCATTATCTCAGTAATTATTTTAACCTTTACCTTGTTCTTATGAAACAGGGAAAGCAGGTCTAATTCTGTTGCTTTTAGGGATGGCTAATCAGAGGCTCTGCATGGTCAAAGGACTTGCTATCAGTGAGCCCTGAATTTCATTTTTGCTGTGGGTTCTGCATCTGCCCTGAGATGACACACATAGGACTCCTGATGGGTGACTGGCTCAGGGACCCCTTGCTCATCCCTAGTGGGGGTTATGTGGTATCCCCTCCTGTTTGCCCCTTCCAGCAGGTTACTCTGCCCATGGCCTGACAATTCACCATTTCTCCACTTGTCCTGGGGCTGGCCCACTGCAGCATCTGCTGTGGTACCTGGTGGTAAGAAAGGTGGAGGAAGATACGTGGATCATTTTCCAGAACTTCCTGGCCCTTCCTTGGCCCTTCCCACTTCTGCTGCCCTTGGCTCTCCCAGGCCTGGTATCAAGAGCCCCAGTTGCTATTCTTACTAGAGTTTCTGCCCAACTATGATGATGAGATACCCAGATTCACTCACATCTGAGGTCCCCCTCACTGAGGGTGCCCAAGCCATGTTTCAGTCTTGAGCATCTGCCTCAGTGTGGAAGGGGACGATGGGTCAGTAGGGGAGGAGATCCTCTGGGCCCACAGCCTTGATTTCCAGTGGGGAACACCAGAGTCCTGCTGGACTGTGTTCAGGATCCAGGGGAAAGTTACTGTGGAGCTGAGACTGGAACTGGGCCCTCTAAAGTCCAGGGCAGCACCCAGGATGGCTGCCTTCACAGGACGTGGGTCCAAGAGGCAAAGGAGGAAACTGCTGTATTCTGCCATGCCTTAAGTCAAACACAGGATATCAGGGCTCCTCCAAATCAGTGCTTCCCAAACCTGAGCAGGCATCAGAACCACCTGAAGGGCTATACTCTTGTCACCCACGTCCACTTATGTCTGATTTGGCATATACGGAGTGAGGTGTACACATTTCTAACAAATCCCCAGGTGATGCTGATGCCACTGGTCTATGGAACACACTTTGCACAGAACAATTGAGAAAACCATAACAGTCACCCAGAGTTGGAGAGGAGAAAACCAGTTCAGGAACAGCAGTTGGTGACAATGGCAAAGGAGTTTGAATAATTCCAAGAAAGGAAAAAGGAAAAAACAGCTACTCTTCCTGACCCAGCAGGGACCTGCACTCCTCACATAACATACACATCCACCAGTAGACACACCTCTCTACAATTCCCTTCCCCATCGTCCTGCACTGGCCCCATGCACTGGAGGTCCCTGAAACTCAGAACCCTGCTTCACCAACTGCCAGGCAGGTTAAGTTTCAAGCAAGAATTAGCTCTATATTTCTAGTACCCGACAGGATGCCTGATTCAGTTAGCTTTTATTGAATGGAGCTATGAAAGGATGTACCTCATCATGCCCAGACAATGTTACTGGGTCCTTTTGGAGCTCTGGACACAGGTTCCCCAGCACTACAGTCACTGGGTTTGTCTTCCTTCATGGACTTAGTCCTTGCTAGACTACTGGTCTCTCCAGTATTAAGCTCTCCTTCCCTAGAACCTAGCATACTGCTTGGCACAGAGTAGGTACTTAGTAAACACTGTTGAATGGGAGGGTGGCTAAATAAATGAATGAAGGAGTAAAGGAAATTAGTGCTTGAATTTATAACCCCAGATAAGTGAGTTTACATCCTAAAATGTGTTTTTATAACCCAACCAGTGACACCCTTCCAAACAAACTTCAGAGACCCATCTAATGCATCTGTACTGGAACTGTCTGGCACAGATGGTGAATAATAGGCTCTAACAGGACAGTCTACAAACAGAAAAGTCTCCCAGATAACCTGGATTCAACACATAGGAGTTGCACTCCTGGATCCAGTATTCTGCTTATGTGCACACAGCGGAATATTGTTCATACAGCATCAACTGCCTCAGCAATTCCTGAATACAGCATCATTGTCACACCAGTGACATCCTTAGGGGACAGGGTCAGGTGATATGTGCATGTGAGCAAGAGGGGAAACTGGGTCCCTCAGCTCATGAACTGTCAGCAGATTTGAGGACTACGTAGGGTCAGCAATTGCTGACTTTCCTAAAGGCTACTGTCCTTTTGGGGACTGAAAGAAAATTATAAATTAGGCAAACATTTATTCTTTTGTTCCCAAGGTGAATTGTTTATTACCTTCTGATACTTGGAAGCCAGTGATGAGATCAGTTAAATAAATATGCCATTAGCTTTGGAACAGCAGCTCATAATAGGCACTTGAAAAAATTAAGACCCTATAAAGAAGTATACAAAATGCAGAACAGGTAACCGTGGGGACTTTCCTGAGCCTGAGACAATGGCAGAGCACCGTCAACGGCTTCATTGTTTCAGGCCTATTTCTGCAGCTCTGGTAATTGAGTAGACAGCATCAGCTCCTCAGAGGCAGAAGAAACCAGCAATCCAGAGTTGCTCTGGAGTGGGCGGTGGGCTGGGCAGTGGGAACGGAATTCGGTGCACACAGTGACAGCCAAATGTGAACTGTGTCACATCCTCACAGGATGTTCTTGTGGGCTGGGCAGTGGGAACGGAATTCATTGTGTAATGACAGCCAAATGTGAACTGTGTCACATCCTCACAGGATGCTCTGCCCCGTTTTGATTTGTATGAATAATCTTAACAGTCTCATATTACTCATTTAGGACAAGGTACCCAGAATGTGTACATACTCTGCCAGCGGTGGCAGTAATAGTGACAGTGTCCCGGACTATGGAGATAATGGTTTTGGAGCTGGAAGGGGACAGTTAGTGAAAGCACTGAAGAGCGCTGCCCCAGGTAACAACCGGCGAGCTTGCTGGCCCTGCAGTCTCCTCTCTCTGGGAAGCCGCTGATTATACCTTTCACTGTGCTCGGCCCCCACCCTCTTTGATTTTATGTTTTTTCTTCCTGTCTCTCCTGAGATCTAATTTTCTGGTACGTACAGAAGGTTGTCTATGCGCATCCATTTGTTTTCTGGTGTAATCTTCATGATATTGCAGTGCAGTCTATAAGGACTTTATTTCTGAATCCAGCATCTCTAAAACAGCCTCCAATTGAGTTATCTCAATAATGAAGGAATGACTATAAAGATAACTTTGTTCTTAATTATATACTCTGGCAAGTTAAATCATCCAGTGAGCCGTGGATGGAGTTTTCTAGGCTTTCTGCTAACATCATGCTGTGTAGCCCTGGACCTGTTAGCTGTGCCATTATGAACAGGTCTGTTTGTGAGGTTGAAGCTCCCTCGCTATATTTTTCTTTGAGCCAGAATTGGCAGTAGAAAAATTATTATCCCTAGGCATTTAAAAATATGTCTATTCAGATGGCACTTCCTTACAGATATAAGAGGGCAGACAAATCCCTAACACAAAATGTGATCTGGGCTCTGAAATGAATTAGAATTTCTTCTAATTCATTCTGGATTGTCAGAAATATTTTAATGACGCAATGGAGAGCCATTCTTTTTCTGCTAATCAACTTTTTTTCTCAAATACTAATTTATAAATTATGTGATGAAATCATAATTTTATTTTTTAAAACAAGGCTGGTACGTTTAGGAAAAAAACATGATCTAGCAGTCCTGTCTATTTCCAGTTATCAGAGAATCTTGGTATTTGCACTGGGGAAAGGAGGCTGAGAGGAAGAAGGGCTCATTAATCTGAATCACCACTTTGTCCCTTGCTTCTTATAAGTCATCAGAGAGGTAGGATTGATGGTTGAATCATACGAAGGTTTACCAAGAAGAAAGTGGTGAATACCCCCGATATTTTAGTTGGTTGTTTTCCACGTTGGCTCTTTGTGATTCATCGGTGTCCCTCTGACTGTGACAGACGAAGGGGAAGGGAAGGCCTCTGTCATGGCGCTTACCCAGTGAAGATGCTCAGGATGATGCCAGCTCCTAATCCATGCCCTACCCTTGAGCCCATCGTGAGTCCTCAGTGAATAGCCTCACCTCACCAACCCTCAGTTGCACACCCAGGAACAGTATCCAGTGCCCCTTTCAGCTCTCAAACTCTCTCCATTCTTTATTGAACAAAGGTTTGTTGGTTTCCTCTGAGCCAGTTTTCCAGCAGTGAGTAAATTGACAAAGATCCCTGCCAGAGAGTAAACAATAGATATCATAAACAAGTAAATGTACATAGTTTGTTCAAAGGAGATGACTGCTACGGAAAAGAGAAAGTCAGGCAGAGAAAGGGAGAGTGAGAGAGCTGGCAGTTGGAGGAGAAGTTGAAATTGAAGTGGAATAGTCACAAGGAAGCTCTCTGAGAAAGCAGCTTTTGAGCAGAGAGAGCTGAAGCAGGAGAGTGAGTGAGCCCAGAAGGGCACTCCCAGTGGAGAGAACAATGAGTGGGGTAGACTTGGAGCTGAGTAGCCTCTGGAGTCCATGAGGCAGGAGGCTCAGATGTTGCTGCAGAGAGAGCAACCTGATAGATGAGGTCAAATGAGAAGGGGCCAGAAACCCTGGAACCCTGTATGCCTTTCTGAGGACTAACCCCTACTCTAAGAGACATGCACAGGGAATTTGAATGACTTAAAGCCCAGGAGTGGCATGACACGCAAAGTTTAAAAAGGATCCCTCTGGCTGCCATATTGAGAAAACTGAAGAAGCAGGATCAATTAAGAGATTGTTACAGGCATCCAGACCAGAGATGTTGATAGCTTGGACCAGGATGGTTGCAATCCACAATCCACACAATGACCAGCACTGGCTAAGAGACCTCCCTCAATGATGGAAGTGCTTTATGTCTGCACACATGACTGTTAAGCACCTGAAACACAGCCACTGCAAGGAAGGGACTGAATTTTTTAATGTAATTTTTGCTCCAATTTTCCTAAAAGTTCTCATTTGGGCCATTCCTTCTTTTCCTTTTTTTTTTTTTTCCCTTTGGTTGAAATTTTAATTAATTTAAATGTAAATATGAGTAGTCACATGTGGCTCACACAACATGGGGAGTGAGAATGGTCTGATTCCAAATCTAATTAAAACTACCACCTGACTCAGACAAGGCATGGTGGCTCGTGCCTGTTATCCCAGCAGTTCGGGACAGTGAGGCAAGAGAATAGCTTGAGGCCAGGAGTTGGAGACCAGCCTAGGCAACACAGTGAGACCCTGTCTTTACAAAGTTTTTTTTTTTTTTTTTTTTTTGATAAGACGGTGTGGTGGCACACACCTGTAGTCCCAACTACTTGGGAGGCTGAGGCGGGAGGATAGCTTGAGCCCCCGAGCTTAAGGCTACAGTGAGCCATGATTGCACCACTGCACTACAGCCTGGGTGACACAGCAAAACCCTGTCTCAAAAAACAAAAACAAAACACAATACGATTCACTGGTAGACTGGAAAAAAAAGGAGGGTCAAGGATGACTCCAAGCTTTGGCTCTGAGAAGGGCTGCATTTGCCCTTGCCTTCTGCCAAATGAAATGGGGAGTTCTGTGTGGACATGCTAGGTTTGGGTGTCCATTAAGCCTACAAGTGGAAGTGGTGAGTAGGTGGGAGGTTAGGAGAGTCTGGGGCTCATGTAAATTAGAGTATCATCAGCATATCCACCGCATTTAAAGCTGTGTGTTCAAGTGCAATGAGGAATGGAGGGAGTGTAGACCAAGAGAAGACTAGGTCCTCCCACCTTCTCTCCATCATGGAGAAGAGGAAGACACAGTGAAGGGGGAGGAGGGCTGGGGAACATGACGTCTTAGAAGTCAAGTGAGGAAGGTATGCCAAGGAGGAAACTCATGATTCTGTCTGTTGCTTATTACTAAAAAGAGGCATGCAATCTTCAGTTCTGTCCTGCCCCTCCCTCTGCCAGTGGGGTTCCAGTGTAGAGAGCAGAAGTAGGCACGAAGGGGGAGGATGGTCTAAGTGTCCTGAAAAAGGAGACAAGATTTAAGACAAATTCTGACTGCAAATGAGAGAGTACCTGGGTACGAGTGCACTTACCTTAGGGCCCATGTTTCAGCATCGCAGACCTGTCTGCATGAGTTGTACAAGGCAATCAAGAATCCACGCTAGGTTGTGGCTCTGGGTGACCTAATGATGAACAGTCAACTTACTGCTTGAATTTTTTTTTTAATCCTTCTGCCAAATGAAATGAGTCCCAGCCTGAATATTTTTCTGTCAACCCACTTTGCTCATCCTATTTCCTCCAACCAGATCAAACCCCTCTTTGAAAAGGAACAGATTTATTTTATTCTATTGCTTTAGCTGATGGGAAAGTGGTGTTTCTTGGGAGGCGTTGAGGTCTTAGAAGGAGCACAAACAGCAAGACAGTCTTTCCCTCCACCAAGGTGCCTACAACCTACCTTTAAAAAAGGATGTGTTGGCCAGGCGCGGTGGCTCACGCCTGGAATCCCAGCACTTTGGGAGGCCGAGGCGGGTGGATCACGAGGTCAGGAGATCGAGACCAGCCTGGCCAACATGGTGAAACCTTGTGTCTACCAAAAATACAACAAATTAGCTGGGTGTGGTGGTGCATGCCTGTAGTCCCAGCTACTTGGGAGGCTGAGGCAGGAGAATCACTTGAACCCAGGAGTCGGAGATTGTAGTGAGCCAAGATTGCGCCACTGCACTCCAGCCTGGGTGACAGAGCAAGACTCCCTCTAAAAAAAAAGAGAGAGAATGTGTTGCCAGAGATCTGTCCTTGCACACCCAGACAGCCAGCCACAGGTCAGCCCCAGCTGTGGCAGTGCTGCCGGGAAGGGAAAATGTTCTGTGCAGACAGCTGGCATGGCTGTGGGTGTGTGCTAGCTTCCAATGAACCCTGGGAAGGGGCATTAAGGATGGAGGCAGCACCATTAACTTTCCAAATGTTGGCAAAGGTGGTATAAAAAGAAAATAGAAACAGGAGAAAAACAATAACAGGAGGACATGCCTTGAGTGTCTGGTGGAGACTTTATTCCCCCTGAGTCAGTGTTTCCTTGCTTTCATCACATGTGCCTGTGAAAGGGAGATTGGCTGTCCCACCCCAGAGGCCCTTTTGAAATAACAACGTTCTGTAATAGAGGTCCCCAACCTGCAGGGTGGAATTCATCAGTAGATCGTGAAGCCTTATTGGATGTTTGCCAAGATAGTTGCCCTTTTTCATTTTTCAAACGTACCCTTTCTCCTTGGCTCCCTGAAATTTCCTTTTTTTTT